TTGGGTTGCTTCCAAGATTTTGCTGTTGGAAACTATGCTGCTACGTGTAACCGTGTGTGCACATACATGGCAGTGGTGTGATGCTCCTGCCTCTTCCGGGAAGATACGCAGGAGGGTAATAGCCGGGGCAACACAGGACGATGTCTAGAACATGTAGAGAACTGAAAAGTCAGCCCTTCCAAATTGAAAGACCCAGTCCAAAGTGGGCATCTGCGACAACAGACAGCTCTCAGGAGAAGCACAAGCAGCCGAGACTGCCTTCTGCTAAAGGGCAACTCCCTTGCATGGCTTTCCGGTCATTAGGGAGGAGCATGTGGCAGGAGTCCAGCTTACCATAGAGCCTTGTGGCAAGCAGGAATTTTGTTGCTTTATAATTACTGATTTATTCAAGGAAGTTACTGAGCGTCTACCCTGAGTGGGACACTGCGCTATAAACAAGCCTATGTTTTAGCTAAAGACAAAATAATAACAAGATAAACACACAATGTGAAACTGTTTGCCCTGTCGAGCACTTGACAGGTTCCGTGTGAACGGAACAAGGGAGAGAATATAAGAGCGCCGTGCTAGGCTACGTTGAGGCGTGCAGAGCTGGACAGAGACGCTGAGGTTCATTCTGTGTAGGACTGGAAGTCACAGGGAGTCGAAGAGGGAGAGTCTTTTGATTTAAGCTTTTAAAGCCTCATTGATCTTTGCAAAGAGTAAACTACAGAAGGTGGAAGCTGGAGAAACAGCCAGCACGCGTGGCAGGTGATTGTGTCGCTGGTGACCTAAATTGTGGGGGAAGCAGTAGAGTCGGGGAGAAGCACTCTATTTTCATAATGTCCCTCAGAACACGCTGATGGAGAGGACATGAGGGGTGTCATTCTCAACCCGTACACCTCCAAAACATAATTTCTCTGCATCTACTTCCCTCCCTCAATTCCACCAGCCCCAGTGACAAAGGAGTCTTAAGCCATTCTTTTCTGAGTCCAAGTCTTTCCTCCTTTTGCTAAAACTCCCAAGAGCACACACACACGCACTCGTATCATTTGCTGCCAGAGATGCAGCGTGCATGGTACTGACTCAGAACACCAGTGGTCAGGTGTTCTGTCTCCCTACCTGACTCAAGACACCAGTGCTATTATTTTTCAGAAATACAAATATTGTAATTAATACAGAATCAAAGAAACCAGTAGTGTCATCAAGTCTTGATGAAATCAGAATTGAAAAGATGAAAAAGAAAGAAGAGGTTAAAATACGTTGGAAAGGCCAAAGAGCAAAGCGGGGAGGAGCGGTGGCCGCAGCTGGCTGGTGACTGCGGTGTGAGGGAGGCGGCTCGGGCCTCCTCCCAGGCGCTGCCCGCGTTCGGGCGCTGGGCAGGCCCTCTCCGCGATGCCTTCTTCAGCTGGGCATTTCCGTCGTGCTCTTGCCTTGTAGCTCCCAAGCAGATGTGAGGAGGGCTTCGGGAGAGCGGCTGGGGGTCCTGCTCGACCCTAAACTAGTTTCTGTTTGGTTTTCAGACTATGTGTATTATTTATTACGCTTACCATTTCCAATGTCGAGTGCTGTGCCAAGGAACTGTAAAATAACCTTGGATTAGATAATCATAAGATCTTTTGATTTTATACATTTAACCTATATAATCTTCAAAACAAAAAGGCTTATTTTTTGATTATTAAAATATAAGTTTTTTAAATTTTTTAAAACTCAAACATTCTGCATTAAATTCTACTTTGAGTTCCTGTTGTTTAACTTAGATCATTAAATATTAAGCTGTAGCTATTATGAAATACAAAAAAGAAAGAAAAATAAATGTAGTCATTATCAGGGGTATTGGGGAGTGTATGTTTTATGCATTTTAGGATTGTAATTACCCTTGAAAAGCATTGAATTCAGATTTGGTGTGCGTTCCCTCAATCTGTTGCTCAGTCCTCCTCGCCCGAATGTTACAGGATGACAGCGCAGCCCAGGCCGGAAACTCCAGTGGTGATGGGGACAGAAAGGGTTCGGGCCTCCGCGAGCACAGAGCCTGCGTCCTGCTGCCCCAGCCCAGGTGTCATGGCTGCTCTGTCTTCACATTCCCGGTCTAAACACGGAGTCAGCAGCCTCGCTGTCCAGGCCCTTGCGAGGCCTTCATTGCTTCTCCTTGGTGTCTGCTGCCTCCCCCGCAGCTCACTGCTCCACAGTACCGAATTCTGAGTCCTTTCTGTACATGGCCCCTGGCCCCTGTTTCCCTGTCGCCTGAGTTCTATCTTCAGCTCTTGGGGTTTTGTTAAATGCGCGCTCCTGTTCTCATGTGACAGCACTGGGGCTGCGCAGTCACAAACACAAGTGGCCATCGAGGCAGCAGGGAGGTTGATGGCGCACAGGGGCAAGACCTGCGCAGACGGAGCGCTGCCTGTGCCCGCCTGACAGGGACACGGTGGCTGTCACGTGCCTGACACCTGGCTAACTCGGCTCTGTCTACAACTCTGACGGGGTTCTCTGAGCAGGCAGGTGACAACCTCCACTTGGTCACTGTCAAGAGTTGCCAGGCCTCTCAGCCACGCAGCACAGTCCCGCAGCAGGTGGGGCTGAAGGCCAGCCTGCCCCAGGTCGCAGGCGTTTGTGCTAATCCCCTGCGAGGCACCTGTGGTGCAGAAGAGCTGCGCAAGGGCGCTGGGCTCTCTCGAGTGTCCTACTCGGGGCGAGGACCTTGCTTTTCTCATAGCCACCTGTTCTCCCAACACACTTTGGTCCATCATTCCAGGAATCGTCTCGAAATACGGATGTGTAACCAGCACATGCTGGGGTGCGGGCTCTCTTACCTCAATTGTAAAAAGATGCTTGTTCTTCATCTTGGGGGCTGGATAGGGTAAACTATCCTCCCCCAGAGGCTGTACCCCTTTCTGCTGCTACCAGCTGTGCAGTTCTGATATCCCTGGCTATCAGCTGATATTTTTTTAGCAG